GAGTTCTTCTCTCCGTGCCCCGTTACGTTCCACGCGTCTCTCGTCACAATGGATGGAAACTGCGGATTACGTTTGCGCGACCTTAGACGGAAGCGCGTGTATCAGCTTGTGCGCGGGACTGATAAGAATAAACGAATGATCTAGTATCGAAGTTGACAACCGGGGTGGTATACATACGCGGCGATTTTCCCGAAGCGATTCGCGAGAATTTCGTTTCGGTGTCAACGGTCTGAAACAAATCGAATCACTTACGAACTTTTGGCCATGTAAATCTCTATGAGGAGTGACATGCAAATGGCAGTGAATGCGTTTATTACATGAGGGAAATTGCGCGCGGCTTTTGTTTCCACAGCGATAACATAGTATATTGACGTTGCAGCGCATAAAATGTTGAAAAACTTATTGGGAACAAGAAAAAACAATAGATAGAAAATGTGTGTAAAACTGGAACATCGCGCACCGTGGCAAAAGTCGAGAAAATGAATATTTTCTTTTCTTTCGGTTTAGTTTTTTTGTGTTTGTTTTTTTTTTGTTTTCTTTTTTGTTTTTTGCAGTCAAACTTGTGAGGTCGACAACGGCGGCGAACACCAAAGATACGCGGCGAAACATATTTTCTAACTCTATCTACATGTAATTTTTCTTTCTCCTCGAAGTCGTGTATGTCACCTCGGAAAACTTATTCTTATACCTCCACTCGAGAGCGCACTTTGGAACTGACATTGTATTTACTTTACTTAAACTCCATTTTTCAACTTCCGACGAATTGCCTTCAATTTTCACAAGGCGCGCGACGCTTATGAGGCGCACTTCAAAGATGGCAGCATCATCGAGAGCCAGCCGTGTTTACCGCTGGAAGTGATCAATCGATACGATGAAGCGGGAAGGGGAGGAGGACACGAAATACGTGCCTATCTCTTCGCGAAATAGGTCATTACACGAACGCACAGTCGAATTCCTTGATAGAGAAACTTGCGGTCGAGCTTGCGGTTTTCGTACGTGCTTCATATCCAGTCTCGGTTTACCTACTGGAACGTGCGCGAGCATACCAATGAGACATCTCGTAGGCTAAAAAAAAAAAAAAACCTGCGACTCTCTCGCAACTTAACATGACGTTTCGTTTTTCCGCGTCTCGTTTTTCCGCTTCGAAAAGAATGGCGTCATTTCTCGACCCAGTAATGAGATGTACGGTGACATATTTCGCACATGTCTGAAGCGCGCAAAATCCGTTCGAAATTAGCCGAGAGCACGTCGCTACACGATACGTAGACACATCACGGAGATATTCCATTAACATTCCCCGGAGCGGCCCAAGATCATCCTTAAATGTTCCAGATGGTCCCCCTGCGTAATATAAGTGACACCAACACCACGAAACGAGAAACTCGCCTCGCGTGCGAGGATCCGTTCTCTCTTCCGTGTTTTTACGAGTAATTAAGAATCAAGCTGAGCGAAGAAAAACAGCTGCTATTTATCTTAATCGCTTTATTCACAAAGGTGTACGTATATATATATAAAACAAGAATAGAATTTTATCTTAACTAACTACAGTAAAGAGTAATAAATATATGTGTCGCTTATTATTTGCAATGCAAATAATACGATACCTGAGATAGATAAAATCGCGAATGTATAATAAAGTACAATGGCTCGCTTTCGTCTATTATTCCGCGCGCAAATAGATTAAGATCACAGGTGCGCGCCGATCGACGACCGGCTTTATTATACCGCAAATGCTCGCCGCAACGCGAGAGAAGAGGCGGCAGAAGCATTAGAGTCGCATTAGAGACCGCATTAGAGCCGACGATAATAGTCCGGAATCGGCGGCAAGAGGCTCTGTCTTGCCGTCTCATAGTCGTGGCAGACGCCACTCCCTGATGAGAAGCGCACACTTCGTCACGGCCCGAGACGACTGCTGTATACGTAAATTTGACGAGAATCCGTGATGGAGAGAGAGATATTGGGAGAAAGATAGAGAGAATGAAGCGGCTGTTTCGCAACCATTCACGGAATCTCAAACGCACGGATGTGTGCCAGTCTATTGATCTTCTCTTTACGGCCGCGCGCTGTTGTGACTCGCCAGTCAATTGCAGCTCCTTGACCAGAAATCCGCACACACGGAAGTTGCAAGGGAAGAAAAAGAGAGAGAGAGAGATGTCCGTCTTGTGTTCAAGCATACTCTTGGAATTCGGAAATGTTGGAATGAATGCTTATTGAAACGAGCGGATCTGGACTGTGAATTCTAAACTGATTGGCATCTCGAAGTATTGTAAATAGTGCGGAAATCCGAGGGAGAGCTATTCTTCGCGAGAGACGTGAAATTGCAATGTCACGGCGCGTAAACGCTTCCGCGTCGCTCGCGCGCAACGATAATCCGACTCATGGAGATTGGAATTTACGCGTTGCGGATGCGAATTTTCATTCTTGCCGCGCGTGTTGAACGTATCGGGTCTTTACGGTGTAACGCGCGTGAATGATGTAATGACGTGCGTGTCTGTAGATTTAAATATCGCAAATATTCGCAAAAGAGGGGGAGAGGAAACACGGTGTCGCGCGCGTGTCATTTACCGCGTGTCAGATGATAAATCGTGACGAGCGTTTTCGAAAATCACGTGCGTGGAAATATAACCATCGATCTGTCCGTACGGGCCGTGCCTTTGTCAACGATAAGCCCGCCATTGACAACAATCGAGCCGTGTGCGAGCTGTAAAAGCCGCGCGCGGCGTGGGATCCACGAGAGAATCTCTCACGTAGCTATCAGCGATATTTTTTTGTTTATCTGCACATGTACATCTCAAAGTTTATAACCAGCGCCGCGAATGAATATAAACGACACGGAAATACACGTTGTAAATGTGAAAACATAAATTTATTAAATAACCGCCTGAGTTTTATTTTTTTATTTTTTTTTTATTTTTTATTTTTTTTTGTTTTTGTTTTTTTTTTAAGTATCAAAATGCATGGAACACGCGGAAGTTACGGTGAAAAATCATCGAATTACAAACTGTTCGACGGTTTTCCGAAGACGACTGCTAATCCATCCCGTAGGGAAACAATAACGTGTGAAGTATGATTTAATCGCGGTCGGTGCATAATTGAAGCAACGCGGTTCTCTGACGAGACAGACAAACCGGCAAGATTATTCACGCGATATATATAGGAAGAAGAAGAGGGCTGAAGTAGAAAGGCAGCATATATCCGCTTGAAGTCGACGACAATATTCACGACACGTTGCGGGAAGCGCAGTAATGTGCTCTTACCCTCTGACAAAGCGAATGCTAATCAAGTGGTACCACTCCGCGAAGTTCCGCGCGCATTAAAATTCATGGCAAATCGATATAACAATTAATCTTAGCACGCGCGGCAAACCAGATCCGTCGTTTGTACTCATGGAGTAATCGATACCCGATGAAAGACAATCAAGATACAAGACGCGCAGAGATCAGAATACGTGGGCGGTTTCTCCGCGTGATTCCGCGATAAGAACGCACGCCCGACGAGCGATTGCTTCATAAATTCACCCCACGCCCCATGTGTCCCGCTGGATCGTTTTGTTGTTTACGAGTTTCTTAGATCCATAATCCACCGAAGAGAAGGTTCGGCTCGTCGACGGAGAGAACTCCCGAAGGAATGCAAAACTCGCTCGAGGGAGATATCCGTGTGGTCGTCGCGGATCGATCGGTTCCTATAATAATCGCTGGCCAATATCATAAAGAGACGAAGATCTCTCCCGCTCGACAGGTCGGTTAATTTTCCTCGGCTATGGGAATATATCCCCGGAATTCTTGGCGTATTCTCGGAATGCTAAAGACGCGCGGGATATGCCTATTGATCTTTCCACGGTGGCTTTCCGAAGTAGTCGGTATAGTCTGTGATACGTGACTGCAGTTCGGTGAGCCGAACATGGCGGATCGCGTAAACTTTTTAACACGATGATAATTCCGCGTCCCGTCTTCTATGCGTTTTTTCTCGGAAGGAAAACCAACGACGTTGCGTTTATTTCCCTTCTCCCGCAGCTGCGACGTGTTTGCGAAAAGTCAAACACCGTTGAAATGAGACAATCAACAGATACGAAAGCAAAAAATCTGATTAAAAAACAACCAAAGATCCCAAAAGAAAGAGTATTAATAAATGTTCATTCTTTTTTTCTTTTTTTTTATTGCGAAATGATATTCTTCTTTCATCTCGGCGTTATCTGCAAGAGTCAGCGGTTTCAAAGGAACTTTCGTGTTCGGGATGACAGAACGTCTTTGAGATCGCGACGCGAACAGCAGCCGGGAAGTTGGCGACGAGCCTTGCCACTCCGTACCGAGAAATGGGATGATCCTCGGCGACCAGCAGTCAGCACGGATAGAGAACGATCAGCTCTCGGCGGAACTCGGCGGTAACGCAAGAAGATGACAGGGGCGGCACTCCATTATCGTTCTGTAACTCCTTTTAATTATCTCGGCCATAAGTTATAACCGGATTCGCGCTTTTTCGCGTCCTTATCGAGGCGAGGACCGCGATTTTCACCGGCGTCGCTCGGAAGAAGAAGAAAAATAAGAAGAAGAAGAAGAAGAAAAACGAAGAATAACGGTGAGAAACGGCGATGAGGAAGAGAGGTCGAGACGGGGGGAAACAAGTAGAAGAGAAACAAGGCGCGGAAGAAGAATAAAAAGCACAAGAAGCGAAAGAAGAAGAAGAAGAAGAAGAGGAGAGAAAAAGGGATGCGCGAGATAGGCGACGGGGTAAAAGGGTGGCGGCTCTCGCGAAGGGTGGGGAAACGGTCTGATATACAACCCAGCTATGGGAGGAAACTCGCGCGCGCACACACAACCACCTTCACGCACGTACACACTCATACACACATACACATGCACAAGTTCATCACCCTTACCAGTGCAGCGGGCGCACACAGGCGCAGTTCCGCGAGCCGAATGGGGCGGCTGCGTGCTCGACCCCCGAGTGGCGCTCGCGCAATGTAGTCCCTCGGCTGTTCTCGACGCGGGAGCATCGTCGTTTCGAAAGAGAGCCGCGACCTTCTCCCCGTCGCGCGTCTCGCGTTTCCCGTACTCGCGGCGGATCTCGCCCGAAGGGGGTGAAATTCGCGCGAGAGCGGCTCGCTCTTGCCGAGATCTCATCTTTCGCGGATTCTTTCGCGACGATCGCGCGGCAACAATATGAAAGCGCAATACCGCAGATTCCGTCCTCGCGAAGCCGCTTTCCGAAAGTTGACGTAGTACAACTATACGCGACTCTGCTCTCGCGGATCTGCTGTCTTCTCATTGAACATTTCCCCTCGTTTTCGCGGTTGTGTGCTCCGAAACTGTGTCTACAGCGGGAGAGAAAGTGCGTGGGAAAAAAAACGTACGATTTACGATCGCGCGGTGGTGGAAAATGACACGGTGAATGGTCCAGTGAAACAGTGTTCGGAAACACACGGCGACGGGAATCGATTGGACGATAGAGTTGAAAAATCTCGATCGTTCGTCAAAGTCATTATCGCGGCGTTTGAACAAGAGAGAGAGAGAGAGAGAGAGAGGGGGGGAGAGAGAGAGAGAGAGAGTGAGAGTTGCTGTGTGAAATCGGAGTGAAGAACACGCGAAGTGTGTTATCTGATATTGAGAATTTCAAAAAGATCGAATGATCGCGCGAGGAACATTTTGTTATCGATCGATAGAGATGATCACCCAGCAATAATACTTCACTGCCTGTTTCGAAAATATATCACATTTATCGACCGCAGTTTCGAATTTCACCGCAAATTCCGTCCGTGGCAGTGCTTCAATGCTTTGCCGTGCGTAAATTCCGCGTGAAGTAGCTTTACCTTCGTGATAGAGGCGCCTCACTTGAATGTTTGAGGACGTCGTCGACGGTCTCTCTCGAGGGTCTGCATTTAATTGCCGCAGGGTATTGCGTTGCAAGAGAGAAACGAGAGAAGGCGGTGGAAAAAGCCGCATACGCGCGGACAGTACGGTGTATACGCGCGGACATGCAGTTGCGCGGCGGCAACCGATGAGGGAGATGTTAAAATTAAAAGCCACTCGTAAAACGCTCAGTCTCGCGGGTCTCGATACGCTTTTGACGTTGCGCGATCCGAGTTTTGTTTAGATCGCTTCAACCGCGATCCATCGTCGTCTACATTGATGCGGAATTGAAAGGTGGTCGGGAAAACAACTGCGAAAACCGAAAAGGGAACTCGCTCACGTTTCTGTCATTCGACGAACAAGAACTGGCTCGATCGTGAAAGCGAGCGATTAGTGCGGACGTTGGAACTGCAAAAAGAAGCAAGAACGTGGAAGGAAGCGAAATTCTCGCTCGTTCGCGACCCCCGATATCGGAGCACGTTCGGAGTCGGGCAAGAGTAATTGCAAGTCGCGGGTAAAATGCGGTGTAGCCGCGCGCGCGGCGAAAATAACCACCGCGGCTGTATGATCGATGGTGCGTCCGGTGTGTCGTGTAGATTGCATTAATAACGACGATCGGTCTAATGCATCGCGGGCGATCTCACGTTCGCCGATGCGTAGTAGCGAGAGGCGCGACGCTTAGCGCCGGTTTCCCTCACATCGATCAATATGGATCACATGGTAGTAATCTTCGTCGAAATAGTGAGTGATAACGGTGATGCGGAGGTTGTTTAAGTGCACATCTGAGGTCCGATCACGCGCGGTTAAAGTTGAACGTTAACGTCGGCCGCGATGTAAAGCGCGAATTCGCTTTCGTCGCAGCTCGTCAGCAGGTCAACGACGAAGTTTCTTTCTTCCACCGGATGAGCATTGGATAGTCGAAAATAAAATCGTCGATTGTTTCATTTCATTGACAAGATCTCAATCGAGCCGATAGTGCGCGTCACGTAAAACCGCGACATATCTTTTTTAATTCGCGGAGAATAATGGAATTTCCTGGTGGTATCGTCTTGTGATAGTGAGCGTAAAATTTTTTTGTCGCGTATTTGACGTAAGTTTTCGTCGACGCGCGCGAATTCGACTGAATTTTTGTGCGCCACGTTCTGATTCGTGCGACGAGTACAAATAAAGTGAGACTGTACGCGGGCATCTTGTTCGCGAGTGATCTGTGCGCGAATCTCTGCGGCGGTACGAAGTGACCTTCTGACCGCTACGATCGAGAAGTGCGTGACATGTCACGATTGTTGATGAGCGTAATTTTGTCAGTGAATCCATCTTCTCCCCCCTCGCAGAAGATTTGCGTCTTCTGAGAACGGCTGCGATGCGTCTGAGATAGTATATCAGTATGTGAATGAGCCACGCCGGGGAAAAGCGATGTCTACTTCTCTCCCTACACTCGTCTGTTTTATCATTTGTTTTGGTGAGTAGTTGTCAAACGTTTATTATTAATTACGGGGCGATTGTTTGTTAAATCGATGTACAACGCAATCGCAAATTATCGCAAAAAAGAAACTGAATTTACGTTTCAACGGAATGCTTGTTTGTAATTTTCGACTAAAACATTTCAGTTGTTCGAAAATCGATTAACTCAAATACGTGCGATACGTGTGCTTGCTTTTAAATCGACCAATCCGGTGCGAAGCATGTTCACAGATGCAGTGAAACAAAAAAAGATTAGGCTCGCGATCGCTCACGACGCGGCGACGATATCACGATCTTCGTAATCATCGATACTCTAACATTCGATATGTTCATGTTAATTGCACGCGCGATTATTGAGGCGTCTAATAATAGCGGCGAATTACCGGTTGGCTTTCGCCTCCGTACGCTGCTCGTACGTTAACGTTCGAGTCCCGAGAGCACGTACGTTCCAATTGATGTTTCGTGACTCAACGCGGTTATATGCGCGAAAGCGAAGGTTCGTCCGATGATCGGGACGTACGACAATCCACACACACACGCGATGATGTACCTATCGCACAATGTGAGTTTTGCTTCTGACGCGAATGTTTCCGAAAAATTCGGAAAAAAATTACGTCTGAATTATGCGCGAGTGTTATCCAAATAACATTTGCATTCACTTAAAACCGTAACATATAACAAATGTTGCACAAAATATTTTTGAAATTAGAGCAAAATGTACAAAACTGCCATGCAATATGCAACATTCTAATGAGGTTTACATATTACGAGCAGTTTCTGCGGAATATTAATACAGCTTTGCGCGGAGGAATTTTAATAACAGAGGTCGACTTGGTTTGCATAACCGTGCATCGCAGACAATTGTTGAAATTGCAGTTGCGGCGCTTTCTTCAACGTTCAAAAATCGTCGGAGTTTTTTAAAGAGTCGAGAACACGTTAATTTTTATAAATGTTTTTTACGGTCTGCTTTTGTTTCATCTGCGCATGCTATCTCTTTAAATATCTCACGAGAGAGAGAGAGAGAGAGAGAGAGAGAGAGAGTATTTCTCTCGTGATCAATATTTTTTTCTTACTCTCTCTCTCTCTCTCTCTCTCTTGGATTGAATATATATTTTTAGCGATCTTTGCTCTTATTATTTAATAATGCTGTGTCAGCACGCGCGTCCCCACATTTCGCTCGACGTGGAGCAAAATGAGGATTCGGAATTTTCTCACCAATATCTTGGCGCGCACGGTCGAGATATCGCAAACTTTCTCGTGGAAATACACGAGGCGTGAGCTTCGCAAAGTTTGCGATCGGCACGCAAGTGATAAAAAAGTATTCTGAGAAAAAAAAAATGGCAGAGCTCTCGCGCGTAACTTGGCGCCATTCATTCAGGAGAGCACATAATCAGACATCGTCGAGATCGTCGGAACAAAAACGCGCCAGATAAGCGGCCGTCCGCGCTTTGTGTTAATTCTCGACGCCGACGCGCGATAAAAGTTTCACTGAGGTCTTTATTAATCGTCTTGTTGCGCGCGCGCGCGCGTGCGCACTCGTTTTTTTACTTATGTTCCGAGTTGTTTTCAGTTTTTATGGGATTAGATGTGACAGAGCACTCCGACGGAATTCCGCGATATACTTATTTCCATCGCTCGCAGAATGTTTTTCGCTGAAGCTGTCTGTAAAATGAAAACCCGCATCGACTCTACAGCGCGTGCATATTTTAATACCTACGTGCATGTACGTTCAACGTACACAGCACTATGCACATTCATACGGAAAACGCTTACCAATGACATAAAATGATAAAGTGAGATTGCATTTAAGTAGACGGTTGTGCGTTGCAATTTGTTTTCCCACCTTACACGCACTTAACCCCTTAAGTGCGTATTATCGCTTTGGAAAAATTCGCGTAGAACGTCGCGGCGATTACAAATTGCTTCGCAGAAATGTATTACATTTGAGAGAAGTAAGGACGGTTTGAGATTTAGTTCGCTTGCGAAGACCAGATTTATTGATAAAGTTTCGGGATTTAAGCGAGGATCAACGTAATTTCCGGTCTTCACTCGTCGCTAAATTTGCGCTGAAGTTTCTTGGACTAAATCAACGTCGTCGTCGCGAAAAGCCTCGACTTGAAGGAGATTTTCCGTTTTTGTCGCGAACGTTTCATTCGGAATGTCCGCGACAATTGTCACAGCACAGTGTTGAAATGTAACGAGAATGCGCGGAAAAAAAGACCCTCGTACAGTATAAACTACTCCTACTGCGTTTAATGCCATTGCGTTTCGTGCACTTTCCACTGCGATTTTTTCCATCCTCGACGCGTGCGCGCGCGCTTGGCTCGTTCATCCGCTTTCACACGTGACGACGTAATTAAAAGCAACGACGACGATGAACCGCGCGTATCGCGCCGCGGTCCGCCGTTAAAATTCAAATTTCAGTTAACTACTGTCGCGTACCGGCCGCGAAAGATGTACTTTTAATTCAACCGAGCCCTCCGACACGTTTTCAGCCCGGTTTATATTATCGCGCTGAAGAAAAAAAAGCCGTTGCGGCGTGGCGAGAAATATGCGCGCTTGTCTAAACTTTTATTGAAAATTACACGGCGAGCGCTGGAACATAAAAATTTCGATCTCGAGTCGCATCGCAGCGTAGAACGAACGACGCAAAATTGAATTTGTTACCGTCTTCCGTCTTTCTCGGGATTTGCTGTCCGCAGGACACGCGCTTAAATTAAAAAAAAAAAAGAAACAAAACGACGGACGCGCTTCTATATATTTTTGACTTGACGCGACGCGTAATTAATACGTTTTCCGGTTTTGACGTCGTCGACGAAGCGGCCGCAACCACGCGTCCGCCGTTCATCATGCTTCAGACGTTTATTATCTAACGACTCATTAACAGTCCCTCGCAGCGCTCCGTTCGCGATGATTCACGACTCGCACGAACAACGACGCGCCGGTAGGGCGGGACGTGTTATTAACACTATCGGGAAGGGAGAATCGCGAGCACGACGCAGACATATCTGGGCTGCGGTAAAACTTAACGAGCCGTATTACCGGAACATATCGTCGCTGTAACTGCGAATTATCGCGGAGTCAAAGCCCGTCGACATGTGCACATCGTCATCTGCGAAGTGACAACACGACCGCGTAAAGTTGGCGTGACGGGCGTGTTCGCAGTTTACGCAGCCATCGACCTCGTGAGGAAGTTAGAGCGGTTTATGGAGAGTCGGAGAAACTACTACGCTTTCCCCCCTCCTCCCCCTCTCGCTCGCGCGCAACGATGTCTCTTTATTAGCGAATTTGCAACAACGTCACCGATGATAAGGCGCGAACAGCTGCGAGATTCATTAGCGATCAAGCTAATAACGTCGCGGTTGCATTTAACGAAAATAACCGCGACGCAATGGTAACACGTACGTAAATCACGCTTAATCGACCGGGTGCCAAAAAAAATAAACGGACTTGCCAGCGGTGTTTATTGACCGGAAGCCTATATAATCGGCTTACGACGACGTTACCGACGTTTTTTGATCCGGTCGGCGAAGTGTCACTGACACGGCGAGATATTATAACGAAAGAAGAATTGAGTTACTCGCTCAGCTTCCGTATCATTGAAATTAACAGCGAGACGATGACGGAGTAGAGCTACCGAATAATAGATTCCTTCGTAACTTTCGATGCTTGCTCACATCGCAAAAGCGCCATTGTGTACGAGCGAGGAAAGGGGTTGGGGAGGGGAGAGTGAAACGCGCGACCTCGCGAAAAGTTTTCGCGATAGTTACTCACCGTCCCGTCTTTCGTACATCGAGAATCCCGAGTGTGCATGCAGCGTGCGCTCGATGGAAAACGGAAAGTCTCGTCTCTAACTTTCAGGCTAGTACATTAGATAGATGGATAAACAGGCAGATAGCGTAGCGCTCGGGCGTTAGATAGATAAATGGATAGATGTGTGTGTACGCGAAGGGTTCGTTGCGACTCCCGGCAAATTCTCGGTGAACGTGGCAAAATGTAAAGCGCGGCATAAACAGATCTTTAATAATGAAATTTAGAGACGCAACGAAAACGCAGGAAAACGCGAGTCTCGGCGAGATTTCATCAGAGCTGTTAACGAAGCGAAATTACTCGAGACCGTTAACGAAACTCTTCTGTTATAGCTGCGGTGACTATTTTGGTGACTATTTTCTAATTGCGCTCCGCGGAAGTTTGTCACAATACGGTCGGTTGTGCTCCGAGCCCGGCAAAATTAAACGAAGTTAACAACGCGAATGTTAACTCTTCTCCCGATGGCAGAACTGCGTTTTATTTTATTACTACGTCGGTAAATTGCAATTTTGCGTTAATATCTGACGTCCTTTGATGTTGTAATCAGAGTTGAAATAACATGAAATTTTATAATCTAACGTGAAGGTTTTTGTCCTAATAAATATTTTTTAATTGCTTCTTGTGAAAAGAGTAATATTCATAATATTTGAGGATCATGTTTGCTTTGTGGGGAGATATGTTGTCGTTGTCATTGAGCATAAACACGATCAATGCAACGCACGTGTAATTGATCAGATAATTAGCAGCCGTCATTAACAGCGGAACGGTTAATCTGCGTCTATCCGAAGCTTTAAATGAATCAGCTCGATCGGGCAATCGAGTCAACAGGCGAGCCGACTCTAATCTCCGAGCGGAATTGCCACGTCGATTTTCCGATCGTTTCTGACGGCAACGGCCGAACGCACGGCGACGGTGCCGCGAACACGCTCGATACGAGAGTTTTTTTTACGATCGCATAGCGGTCGCATTCGGTTCTCTCTTCTTTCTCCTCTTCCAACCACGTCGAAAACGTGGCCGCGGGAGCTCGCGCGCTAGCTGTTCGAAAGAAAAAAGTGAAAAAAACCCACGTAAAAAGAGAACGCCAGGACAGGGGATTCGACTGGCGGGAAACAAAGTTGGCTTATTCGGCCGCGAAGAGACCGGACGGAAAATAGGATTTTGCGGCCGGCTGACCAAACCAACCTCTGT